CACCTTTCCTGTTCCGGCTCCTTGGACGGCACGGCTGGAGAGGCCCGAAGAGTATGAAGAAACAGAAGCACAGCTTGGGACCAGCTTGGCTCAGGTAACAGCCAGGTAACATTTGAAGAAGCCGTTAGTGCAGTGGGCAGGCGTCTTGGGGTTACCTCAAGTACCCTCCACCGAATCCTCCTCGCTGCAGTCCAAACGGTTGGAACCGCCCGCTTCTTGCGTCCATTTTCCACCCCGCCCCCAGTAGACTACTCATGCAAAGCCGCAGCTTTCCGTGCCTTCTGGCCCTCAGCAGCCCAGGCGGGCGGCGTAGCGTTAAAATTATAGCAACCGCTCTCTTCAAAATGACTGGCCTTCCACGCCAGAAAGCATTCATGCTACCGCATGGACCGCATGTATACACGCATCTGACATGTCGAAACCAGGCCTTTCATAACATCACGGGCGTGCGCTTTTGGCACAAACTTCACGATGTCATGAACCAACCTGTGAAATTTCCTGCGGCCACTGAAAAGGAGGGATACGAAACCATGAGTTTGACTGATGTCGCACGATCGACCGGAAGGGCATCTGTTCTCGGTGGAGACCTCAACAAACATATACCTGCTCCAGCTCGCAAGGGGACCGCCTTCAGGAAACACCCAAGGCCCCCTATACACCAAGACACATTGAACAATCACACCTATCCGATTACCGTTTGTTTAGGCCCTAGGACGCCAAGGAAACCTCGGACGACGGCTGTACAAGTCACGACTGCACAAGATATTGCCTGCATGCGATCGCCCCTGCTTCACATCAGTATTCAAGGAGGCCGTCGAGGTGATACGTGCGTTAGTAAATTGCAAACAGAGACTGCCTGCGCTGCCTTGGAAGGCTTACCTTGCTGAGAAAGCTCTCATGAAGCTTTGAGCTTTTCACGAAATCCAGATGCAAAAAAATCGAACATCACCAAAAGCCTGGGCAAACTCTTGTGCACTTGCGCAAACGGTGTCTCCTCTACATTGCCGACTCCTCGGCCTCGGCAAAATGACTTTGCGGACCTCAAGTCCCTTTCTAGCACTCAGCTTTAGATCGCATTGCATTCTGCCTGGTTTCCTGTGTTGCCGGGTTGCGATCGAATAGAAAACGGCTGCCTGCACAAGGAAGGCGAAGAGGCTAAAGCCAGTCTCCTGCGGAAACTACAGGCGCTTTTTCCGTCCGAGGCCTAGGAGCTCTTTAGAAGGGCCTTAGGTTGATGGGTCGTCGGATGTTTCGTTCAATATAGCCATCAAGCGTTCTGGGCAGTCTTGATGTGTCACATCTGCAACCCAACTGAACATGTGGATTCAAAGTTTCAGTGCTACCCGAGCGAGGCCTTCGCTCCTTCTCCCCTACTATCGGTTGCCCCTTATCGCGGAGTCGCCTGCTAAGCTGCTGCACACCAGCCATCGCAGTCATGGCTCTCTTCACGCAGAGCTCACATGCTGGAAGAATGACTGACTTACGGTAACTGAGTGCTCGATGACATAATTTCCTGGATGCTACGTCGAGGGACGACCTCTGCACTCATATAACTCTTTCTAAAGCTGAAGTTTGCTGACGGGAACTGGTTCACTCCATGCAGGCAATCCTACACATTCCATCTGTAAAATCACGGAGCCATCATTGAATGCTAGCGGCATCACAAGGAGTTCTGGAGGTGATACACAATGTCATATCTGGACCAACAGAGGCTTGTACGTTTCGAGACTTCTCAAAGCATTCGGTGTGAGCCGATCCAGGGCTGGGTTGCCGCTGGATTGGGTCCCTCAAAAGCCATCGAAAGCCTACCTGCGGAGGATCCAGAAACATCCAGGCTAATCCATGCCATCAGGCCCGACTTCTCCGAAAAGCATATGGCTTCGGTGGCTCAAGTCGAAGATGCTGTGCGCCCTGGTTGTCTGTCACGGGGCTTGAGCTGAAAGCGAATCTGTACTCACAGCCTGCACCATTGGCACCACCCACGCCCTTGGCAAAGCCTGGGCCCGCGCCACCTTCGCCTTCTGCATCACCTGCAAACATGTTTTATAGATATTGAGCTAAGAGGCACTAAACACTTCCAACAAATACGAACAAATATGGAACAAGGAAAATGAATATGGGCTTCATCACAAACGAGACCCTTACGATAACAGCTGTTAAGAGGGGCAGATGCTAGAGACCAGAATCAAATCACACAGGCTGGGGCGGATCGATGCACAGATCCAGACCAGAGCATTGAGAATGGTCATATTGAAGCACACCGACATGAATCAGCACACGCGCGCCACAGCACCTTTGCCGCAAGTAAGGGCTGAGACCTTAACACCTTCATCATTAACATCCTCGACACGCTCGGAGCAATGGCAGGATGGATGGCAGAATGTTGACGCGGCTTGGGCTGTGGCCATTTGAAACGCAAAGGAAGGACGGCCGTGAGCAGGTGTTTAGGGTGCAGGGGCCAAGGCAGCATGATCTGTGCAGCCAACGCCCATGGCCTGAAATATTGCACTGAAAAGGCAATGAATGGTACTTGGGGCAATGCCAGCTGTGAACGACAAGAGTGCCCAAGTGGGACAGTCCATCATTCTCGGGAGCTCATGAGAATGACGACCTGACACGACGTGCGCGGGCACAAGCTGCGAAGAGGACGACTGTGTCCAGGTGTGGTAGCCCCCCGAGTCGTGGGTCCCCTGTGACTGGGAGCAAGGCAGTCTCGGGACAAAAGGCCTTGGAAGGCTCGCGCAAGACTCAAGACAGAGGCGGACAGCGAGTGCACGCGAGTCTGGAAAGAAAAGCGACTAAACAAAATCGACATAGAAGATGCGGGACGCCTCGTAGTTCGGCACAACAAAGCACGATGGGGCGTTAGAATGCTCGGTGGCGGCACCAGTTTATAGCCCGGCTCACGAACAGACTGCTGTCTGAGCTGAAGGGTGGCGGGCTTAGCAATTCGCTTGGCACGGCAATGACAGGTGAGATGGCCTTCTTTTCGGGTTTTTGCAGCTTTCCAAGCTTCAACCGGTTCAAGGTCCTGTGAATGATTCTGGCCGAGAACCACGATGTTTTACGATCTGTCCAGGCGTGAGAAGAGATCGAAACCCTCTCCCCAATGCTGTCTCGGTAATGGCCGTTCAGAAAGAACTGGCCAAATGCTGTGGACTGTGTGGAGCTTTGGCGTGCCAGCTGAAGAAAGGGGTGATCCGGACGGCTAGCTTCGCCTGGCCTCGAGGCCCAGCCGCCAGACCACATCAAGTCAGTTCTTGGGCAGGCTTTCGGCATGGGTGGGGCCCAGCTGGACCATGTAAAAGGCTCGGAAGTTTGAAGTTTGTGAGACAACGCAAGTTCTTGTAAGGAGGGGATAAGGACTGTTGGAGTGAAGACCCCGTTTCTGAGAGCATGGCCAGACCTGAGCATAAGTTTACGTTCACCGAACCCATGTCAACATCCTTAGAAACGTGCACGCGACCACATGCACAACTGCGAACAAAACCATATAGTTCTTATTTGAACAGCTTTCGGCTTTCCGTCGGGTAGACAGAGGAGGCGTCGACATAAGCCTACAGTAGTGGATGGACTCACGGAGGTTGGGGTGAGGCAGGACTAGACTTCAGCAACCAGCATAACTCTAAAGGTCTCCTCTGCAGCCGAAGAGCTCTCTTCACTTGCACTACCTTGCGTGCTGTCTTCAGAGAACCACCAGGAGTCTGAGCATTCGGGATGGAGGCTCGCGTCTGCATAGACATCGAACTGGTCGCCAACTTCTGAGTCTTTGCCATCAGCATACCACCAAGATGCTGATGGTGTGTGGCACCCACTTGCCGGGGAACTGATCTCGCATGCTTCACAGTCACTGCCAGAGCTTTGCGTGGGGCTGGAGTACAAGCGCCTGCGAACTCGAGCCCTGGGCGTCAGGGAATAGTGCTCAGCTTCTTGCCATGCATCTTTCAATCCGTCAAGAGCCTTGAGGACCGGAATACCGCGCGCAGTAGTCCCGGCATTTCCTTGCTGGCCTTGCATGCATGGGGCAGAGGTCTCTTTGTACAACTGAGCCTCAGCAGCCATCAACTTGAATGAGAAGCGTTTACTTCGAGCACGCTCGGCTTGAAGATCCTTGCGCAAGGCTCTCACTGCACACTTCTCCTGCTGAAGTGCAGCTTTGGCCGCATGCAGGTTAGCCTGCAAAGTAATGCACAGTTCTGCTAGCTCCTCACGGTTAGCTGCAAAGTCCATTGCAAATCCTCCGTCTATTGCATCCATTGGCGAGTCGCACATCAAGGTATCGAGTCCTGGAGTTCCCTCGCTTCCTGTTTCAGGCTGTCTCCGCCAACGCACTAAGGTACGTTCCGCATCCTCCCAGTTTGCCTTGTCGTCACTACGACCTGTTTCCAACCACATATTGTGAGCACGGCGCGTCAGTTCATCGTGGGCACGCTGCAGCACTCCAACTCCCGTGCCGCCACGCAAGAGCGCTGCCACAAACCTGGGGGAGAGCTCAAGCTCATCCTCCAAGTCCATTTCCTTTAGAAATGGAGATGGCTTTAATTAGCTGGTGAAACTTCAGTGGATCCAAATTGCCTACGGTACTACATCACTGTCGCTTTGTTTCGAGCACTTCAAGTTCAGGCACCGGGACTGCGCTCGAAAGTCTCTGTCTGTGCAAGTCCCTCAAGGCACAGGGGCTGAAACGAAACCTCGAAACCTTGGGAAGACTCGAGAAACATGGGACCAAGCTAGCTATGCCGTCTTCAGGCACTTGGGACGATTCAAAGTTCGTCGGTCGTACTTGCTCTACCGATCGATTGTGTTGAAACTCGGGGAACCCACCCGCAACACATCTCAGCAGAAAGCGCAAAGTCTCATAAAGCTGGGTGCGAGCAGGAAGAGATTTTTGACTGGCGCCGCTCCACATTATGTATCTATGCACAGACCCAGCTCTTTGTAGAGGTCCGTGAAAGCCTCCAGCTCGGGCTGGATCCCAAAGAGACGGCGTGGTACAAGCTAGCGCTGAGACGCAGGCTGCGACAAAGCGCTTCAACCAGTGATACACGACTTCAAGAGGCACCTGATGTCGACACATGTCTTGAGCAGGTCTCGGAGAAAGGCAGGGAACTGGGCATTCCAGTGTTTGGCCAACGCTGCTAATTCGTGGCGGTCACATCCATTGTCTTAGAATCTGGGTTCGTGGCCCATTCATCAAGATCCTATCGAAGGACTGCAGAATAGAATGCAAACTTCTGCATGACGTTGACATGGCATGAAATCTGAAAATGACTGACGGCCTTGATCATGAGCGGCTGAAGGTTCATGCTCTCTCCAATCTGGTGGAGCAAGTCAACAAAGTCTTGCCTCAGATTCGGGAGACGAGCAACCTAGGGTCTGGGGTTTGTTTGGAACGCAGCAGATGCAGCACACGACGGCGGCTTGCGCTATCTTGCGGGCGTTCTCTGTCCAGTCGAACGGTCGGGCATACAGACAAACTGCTGAGCTCGGGCACATGTTTGTGTGGCTTGATATTTGGCAAGGCTTCAGCAGATTGTACAGGTTCATGACCTGAGGCAAATATCTCAAACTAGCTTGCGCAAATTGTGCTTCGTTTTCGTTGGCACGACCTGAGAAAGGTGCCACATCCATGTGGACATAGAAGGTCGGCCTACCAGCGTCTTGGGCATCAACCTTAGCGCAGACTGCTTCATGGCGCCTGCTGTGCGTGGATAATTGTCATGTGTCTCGCACTGGTATTCGCATCATGCGAAATGGCCGAGGGGACATGTCCTGCAACGGCGCTGGCAACTCACATCCCTTCTTACATCTTTTTGCACAAGCATCATCTTTCCGCCTTGACCAAAATCGCGTCTACGATAATTGAAAAGGTCTGTTTTGTGCTGCCTCGGTCTTCGTCACAAAGACCCATGCCCAAACATCCCCTTCGGTTTTGATGTTAGGGGCCTTCCATTGCAAGCGCCATTTGGGGTCCCAATGCGCTGTAAACTTCACACTGGTTGTGGGGCGCGACACTGGATCGCCCATGCCACATCTTTCCTGGTTCGGGGCTCACCTTGTCGGATTTCAAAGCCATTGCCCGGAACATCTCGTTACGCTTATGGCGAGGACGGACTCTCGTGAGTTGCGAACCGTGGATGCAGAAGTGACTGCCAGTAGCTAATGGCTTGAGTGAGAACCAAAATCCGAGCACAGCATGTATGCCATTTGTGAGTGTCAGTGCTTCGGGGTCATCAAGATCTCGCGAGACTGCAGCACTGCCCGGTTACGGCCCAAAGAGGTGGAAGGTCGAATCGCCGCTGCGCACGCAAAAGAGGCAAATGGTAAGACAAGGTAGAGAAAGATCCTTAGCTGAAGGCTAAAGCTAAGTCAACCCCAGCGAGCCGCCACGGCAGCGCAAGATGAGCATCAATCGTAGAGTATATTCGCAGGAAGGTCAACACCTTGATCGTGTCGCTTGTCAACCCCGGACGGCCACCAGTTCTTGAGCATCACAGCGAGGCATCACAGCAGAGCGGTGTTGATCAGCTTCGGACGCTGGACTTGGCTAGCCGCTCACTGCAGGAGTTGATGCAAGTGCAACGGTAGTAGAAAGTGCAACGGTAGTAGCTATAGTAGTCGTCGCAACAGTAGTAAGAGCAGGTTTCCAGCAGGAGAAGAAGTAGTAGCAGTAGCAGCAGCAGTAGCAGTAGCGGTAGCAGCAGTAGAGAGCGTACTCAGTGGTCCTAATGCAGCTGGCCAGATACGACTATGGAGCTCTAGGCGCACAGAAGGATCTGACTGGGGTCCAGATCCTTCAAAAACTACGAGTACCAGCCTTTGGCCGAGGACTCAGGGTTTACCATGCCACATATACGGTGTGTTCCATCATATTTACATATTAGGTGTGCTCCATCCTGATTCATCACGGGGAATCCACTGACTGTGGACATTACACATCGTTGCTCCTGGAACCGAGCGCTCTGCCCAGGAGCTTATGTTGGGGAACCGATGATGGCAAGCCAGCAAGGCGCTTTTCAAGCACTCCTGAATGCGCGGAGCATGATGGGTATGTTTTTGTCTTGGTACGTTGCAGGTTCTGCTGACAATGGTGGGACATGACCAGGTCAAGAGTGGTGCTGGTGTACAGCCGCTGTGGCGCCGGCAAGCCGTCGTTGATGGGACGCTTAGCGGACTTTCGCTGCGAAAGAAGAAGCAGTAGTAGTAGTAGTAGTAGTAGTAGTAGTAGTAGTCGTCGTCGTAGTAGTAGTAGTAGTCGTCGTATTAGTAGTACTAGTAGTAGTAGTAGTAGTAGTAGTAGTAGTAGTAGTACTAGTAGTAGTAGTAGTAGTAGTAGTAGTAGTACAGTAGCAGTGCCAGTATAGCAGTACCAGTAGTCGTCGTCGTCGCCGATGCCGTGGTGGTACAAGTAGTGGTCGCGCTAGTGGTTCTGCTAGTGGCAGTGCTGGTGAAAGTGGTCGTCGTAGTGAGAAGCCGGATAACCGTAGTACTAGTAGTAGTGGTAGTACAAGTACTAGTAGTCGTCGTCGTAGTCGTAGTCGTGGTGGTAGTCGTAGTCGTAGTCGTAGTAGCAGTCGTAGTAGTAGTCGTAGCAGCAGTCGTAGTAGTAGTCGTAGTAGTAGTAGTAGTAGTAGTCGTCGTAGTAGTAGTAGCAGCAGTAGTAGTAGCAGCAGTAGCAGTCGTGCTAGTGGTAGTAGCAGTCATCGTAGTCTTGGTAGGGGTAGTGGTAGCGGTCGTAGTGGTCGTCGTGGTCGTAGTAGCAGTAGTAGCAGTAGTAGTAGTAGTCGTAGTAGTAGTAGTAGTAGTAGTAGTAGTACTAGTAGTACTAGTAGCAGTAGTAGTAGCAGTCGTCGTGGTGATGGTGGCGGTAGTGTAGCGGCATAGCCAGAAGAGTACTAGAGTGGAACAGCAACAGAGCAGCAGTAGTCGCAGTCCACATCTTCGCAGCAGTCGCAGTCGTTGTCGTCGTAGTCGTCGTCGCGGTTGTAGTAGCCGCAGAAGTGACAAATTATGGTAAGTAATCGTAGCAGTGGTAGCAGCACCCCTCTAAGCCACCGGCTGGGTACTTTTACTTTACTAGTACGCCACAAGTCGAACCCCATTCTGCACGGAAGCACTTTCGATGCAAGCTGTTACATCGTGCCACGCAGCTGCATGATACCACTAGGGACACTTCGCCTTGTTGCCATTAGTTGCGGAAGCACCACGACCAGCTCATTCATACTGATTGTTCTGTGTGTTCGTGATTCTGACGGCGTTTTCGGTTGTATTGGTTTTGCTGGTTCATGGCTCCGGAAGTATCAAACTCTCCTCTTGACAATCAGTAGAGCATAGTAGAACTGGATTGTTCTGTACAATTCGATGTGACGAGTATCAGTCCAGTCACGTCTACAGCACGGAGCGGCTTTAATAGGATCCATGGCAGTTATGCTGGCGATAGTGGATGGACATTCTAGTACCTCAGCAAGCCCCATGGATGCTCTGAATTTGGGTTTCCACACCTGGCTTTCCACCTGGTTTCACAGCCTTGAAACCCGCACACCCGCACAGAGCAGAACATTGAACATGAACATGTCCCTGCCTGAGCCACAAGCCTGAGTTCCATGAAAGTTGTTCAAAACGTCTGTGGGTGCAACAGCTCATGAGCCAAGGATCTTGAGCATCCAGTCCACGAAGACGTCTTGACCGTCCCTCATTCTCAAAGCTGATCTACAACATTCTGTAATATGAAACAAGTCTTGGCTGGAAACGTGCAGCCGTAGCAAAATAGCTACGAGTAAGGATGATGCTCATCACACACATCTGTAATCATCTCCATAACGCAAAGAGCCTCCAACAAGAGCACATTGCACGGTTCTGTGCTGGATGGCCGGTTCTGCGTTGCTTTGCCTTCAGCTTTTGGGAGAGCTCAAGGTCGCCAAGCATCATCCGCTGCTCATTGCAGAATTCTGCAAAAGTCACAAGCTCCTCCAAGAGCGGAGTTCAGTAGCTTTGCCAGCTTTGCCAATCGTTGACCAATCTATCTCGTGGCACCTCGAATGTGACCACACCATCCCGATTGGAGTCTAACTTCCAGAGCGTGGCAATGTGCCGAAAGTCCAGGGACAAGTCCTGATCAATGCGCAATCGCAGCTTGTGCATCAGGCAGCATGGGCAACAGCCACCTCTGGAGTGGCAAGCCGCTGTAGCGTCGCCAATGTCAGCACGGGCTCCTGCAAGACCCAGATTTTCAGCAGGGTGTGGATGCGAAATTGAGCTGTATCTACATGTAACGATCTATCTATCGTTCTATCTATCTATGTGTGCATAATATATATATATATATGCATTTCCTATCGGTGCTGATGTTTAGCACTACGGGTAGCAGAAAATCTCGATCTCGTTCGAGTTCACAGGTCGTAATATATGCTTGATCTCGGTTTGAGCGGTACCCGAATCTCATCCCGACCACAGCATTACTGCCACCTTTGACAACTGTAGTACTGCACGAATAAATGCCGTCTGTACGCAAGTGGTCACTTGATGCTGAGGCGCCCAGGCCTCGACGTGGGTCTGTGCTTGGGGCAGGGAGGCCTGAGCATGGCCAGCTTGCGATGGAGCTGCGCGTGGCTTTTTGAAGGACGCACTGGACAGGCCCAAACCCCATTCACATTGGGTGACGCCAAGGATGCCTCGGAATCCATGCATCTGTTGGGGTAAGCCTAAAGCCGCCTGCGCTGGGCCGCAAGCCGCAAACCACTCTCCCCACACCGCCTCTCAGTGGATCGTGAGGGGGAGCTTGGCTACCCTTCTGTCGAAGCTGCGAGTTACACTGAAATGGTCCATGCTGCCTCTCCATCAACGCCATGTGATTTCAGGCGGTTAAACTCATTCCTGGGCGGTGGAAGGCATGAAAAGTACAATCAGATACCAATCCGAAACGGTAAAGCCAAGTTACATCAAGTAACCTCAGTTGGCACAAAGCGGGAACGCTGAGGTTGCTGGACAGCATGCAAACCGAAGCTTTCGCAAGACGATGCAGACACATGCAGATGGCTGCTTATGTCATAGGAACTCAGCACCCACAATGATCCACAATGCTGCGGCTTCGTGGCTCATTGCTGTTTTCGACCGTCGGACGGAGCCATTGGCTCCCATGGCTCAACCAGTGTCATGGTTCAGGTCCTTCCTCATTGCTGGGAGCATACTGTGTAGCTTGCTCCCAGCTGCCCACACTTGCTGAAGAGCTGACGTGCATCTGACATTCCATTGCGTGCCTGATGCATGATAACCTGGATCTGCCATAACAATGCTTGACGCATGTATCTTTTCAAAGCCCCGGATAATGGGCATGCTGTGTATAACAGTTGTATAACACAAGTCGGTGGCATGCAGTAAAATTACTGAATAAAGAGCTCCAGCGTGAGTGCGTGAACTGTTTTGATTCGTGCTTCGCCCATGATCATCCATGTGCTGATGCTACGCTACAGAACTCACTGTTCTCTGCAGCCGCCTACATCGCGATCGGTGTGAGCATTTTCGAGGCAATACAAGACTGGTGCCGTTCATTCTCGTTCTTGCATGACCGGCGATCCCATTTTTCTTCCTGCGAGCACCGCACGAACGAAGGGTTCTACGCACTAGCGTCGCTAGCGTCGCCAGCAGTGCAGTGAGGCAAGGCTATGCAAGGTGTTGCTTGAATCTTTAGGGCTTTGAGCATATCACATCATCAAATGGTTTGGGCGCATCCTCGGGAGGATAAATACCGTTTCAGAATAAAAACACTGCATTCTGATAAATAGGTTTGCTTTAAATTTATCACTTAACTCACACACTCTTCGGCACATGAGACTGCCTCTCTCTGTCTTCCCCCTTCTCTACGCGCAGAAGCATCATCACCTTATCACAGCCAGTCTGCCAAGCATCATACGCATGATGGTGTGCCGATTGGACAACACTGGTGAGGATCGGACATGACGGCCTTCGTGAAATCAATTCTCCGGGTCTTGAACCTCGTGGATACAAGAAATGCCAGCATCTGCGCGTCGCACACGAGGCAACGACGTTGCTTCACTTCTCGTAAGGCATCTGCCCGATCCACATACTGCGGTACCAAAATCCAACAATGAACGTCCCGACGAAGCAAGCCGACATGGCCTCCATGGACACGCACGCAAAGCATTGTGGCAAAGTCCTTTGACTCCTGCATGCCTTCTCATAACGGCGCAGTAACTCTCCACAGCACACTCCAGCCTTCAAACCGATCAGCTTGCGCTCATCATGAGCTGGTTCTGCAGCCCAGCATAGAAAGTTCACGACCTGAGTTCTGCGCTGGCACCCAAGGTTTCCCTCATCTTTGGCGGCGGAGTGCCGGGCGAGGCTTGCATGATTCATTCATGGTTCCTTGTTGCATGTTCGAAGAAGAAGCCAATTGTGCGCGCTGATGCGCGCTGCATAGGTTCCGTAAAGCTGCCACATGGGGACTGCGGACGCTTGGAGCTTCCACGATTCTGGTGGCTATGATGCTGTGCGGAGAGGCTCACGTAAGGCATAGATGATCATAGATGCAGGGCATCTCACGTGGTGAATCGTGCGGAGGTGCTGGTGGCTTGTGCCCGTGTGCTTCGAAGTCTACTTGCGTTTCTGCTGCCTGCCTCAGCCGCAGCCAGCAGTTTCATTTCTTGCCACCGTGGGT